CAGAGGGGTCTCGGGGAGGAGATGAGCCAGTCAGGGTGCGATGTAACAATGATGAGAAATACAACTTTCCTCTAGTTCCTAAATGTGTCCTCCCTGCTCCCACTACCATGACTCGAATTCGACCTTGCAAGTCTGGCTAGACTAAATCAAATAGAACAGATTGATGGCACTCAAGTGTTTGACAGTTTCTTTTCAAGTCTCCATCAACTTAACCCTATTCCCTCTCTTAAAGCTGTGTTTGGCTCTTTTATAAGATAGCTTTTTATCATAATTTGTCTCTGTTTTGTCTTTTATATAGTCTGCTGAAAAATCCTCTGCAAATAAAGAACCATAGACAGGAGAAAGGCTGTCCTTGCAGTGTTTTCTCTTCATCTGGATGCTATAAAAAACGGGGAAATGTAGGCGGAATGTGGCTAGAACTTGGATACAAATCAGGGATTTAAGGATGCACATTTGGGTCAGCGTGTTCTGTCAACAGATCATTTTGATTATCAAGGAAATGGAAACATTCCGTGTGTGTGTGTGTCTGTGTGTTTGTGTGTGTGTGTGATTCCTGGAGTTTGTTTGGTCCTTGTTCTTTGCTTTATAGATTGTATCTTTACAGCACCAGATGACTTATTTTCTTAGATAATGTAGTTTTGAGAAAGTCATTTTTGAGACTTAAAAACAATTTGAGTAAATGTAACCAATCATATAGTCCTAAACTTGAACACGAATAAATAGAGAGGACACATCTCAGTTCCTTGCTCCATGCCTGAGTGAGCTGTAGCCCTCTGCCTTTTTACAGATTCATTCTGTGTGCTTCTTGTTCCTCTGCATCTCCATTCATTTACAACATCTTGCAGCATATTCTTTTAGTTTTTCCTTATCCTGGAAGACTCTTATCTCCCCATCTATCTTAATGGATAATTTAGCAGGGTAAAGGATTCTTGGGCAGGCATTTTTTTTCTTTCAGCTTTTGGAAGATGTTGTTCCACTCTCTCCTCCTCTTCATGGTTTCTACTGATAGGTCAGCATATTCTTACCTGAGCTCTGTTGTATGTGACCGTCTTCCTTTCTCTTGCTGCTCTTACAATTTCCTCTTTATTCTCAAAGATGGATATTTTTACTATTACATGTCTTGGTGAGGTTTTCTTGGGGTTTAGTCTAGTTTGTGTCCTCTCTGCTTCCTGTATGAGTGTCTGATTCTCATTCATTAAGATGGGAATGTTTGCTTCCAGAAGTACCTTCACTATTTTAGCTGATGACTTCTTTGTTGTGCCCTGCCCGGTAGACCAATTATTCGAATATTATTCCTCTTCATAGTATCTGTCATTGATCTCAGGATATTTTTCCCTCTTTTTATTTTCCTGTTTGACTCTCTGTCTCATTTGCTGAGGTCTGTCTGAGTGTCTTTGAGATTGCTGATATGGTTCTCTGCCTCCTCAAGTCTAATTGTAAATT